TACTTAGAGCGTCCGCAACTACATTGTACTTGCCTTTCACTGGCTTAAGCTCAAAGTCATATTGATCTATCTCTGCGGCCCACCTAGTAAGCTTAGGTGTCACCTTGGCCTGTGTCTTCAACCACCTCAGTGTTTCGTGGTCTGAATAGACTTTGAAGTGCCTCCCAAGCAAGTAGTGCTTCTAATGATCTAATGCTTGCCTGAGAGCGTAGAGTTCCCTCTCGTAGGTAGATGTCGCTACCTTCTCTGAAGGCATCCTAGCAGACATAAACTCTACGGGTCTATAGCCATTGCCATCATCTTGTTGTAAAACAACGCCTGTACCATACTGACTTGCGTCAGTGGTGACGACAAAAGGCAATGATGGATCAACTACCTTGAGGACTAGATATTCTATCAAGGTCCGTTTCAACTTTTTCATGGCCGACGTACAATCTCGATCCCACTTCCAGATCGCCTCTTTCTTTAGCAACCTGCTGTGTGCATCGATGGTAGAAAAGTTCCTCACAAACTTTTTATAGTAATTTGCTAAAGCCTAAAAACGACCGCAATTCTGACAATGTGCGGGGTATTGGCCAATCTTTGATCGTTGCTATCTAACTATCCTCAGGTTTTATGTCGTGTCCATCTAAGACGTGGCCTAAGTACAAGACTTGTGTCTTGGCGCACCCGCACTTCTTCGCGTTGATCTTGAAGTCATATTTCCCTGAATTTTTACTCTTTTCTCAGTTTTTCTTTTTGCCTGTTATATATGTGCTTTAGGGTATATTTGTATTCGGTTTCGCCGTATTTGAAGCAGTAACAAAAAACTTAGCAAAAACACCGGACTCGAAAAAAGCTTTGGCGAACTCCGAAAGCTACTCCGAATAGGGATTTATAGTGCTCTTGAGTTTTATTTTTTCGTTTTTTTTTTTGCCTGATTGTTTTTTTTATATTTGTATTATGGCCCTGCATAGTTTGTTCGCAAAAGTTTCGACAACATTGCTTGTAGCGACGCGGCGAAAACCCCCGAATTTTTGGCCTTCCATTAACCGCTAGTAGCCTCAGATGGCCCTCACGCTCCTGGAGGGTCTTACTAAATACTAGAATATCATCTAGGTTTACTACGACGAACCTGTTTAACCACGGCCTAAACAGATCATTCATACAACGCTGGAAGGTAGTTGGCGCATTGGTTAGTCCAAAGGCATCACGATAAACTCATAGTGCCCATATCTAGTCTGGAATGCTGTCTTATAGCTGTCTCTTATAGGCATCACGATAAACTCATAGTGCCCATATCTAGTCTGGAATGCTGTCTTATAGTGATCATCAGGATGAACCTCTATCTGATGGTAGCCGGAGTTCAAATCTATCTTTGATAAATATTTGCAGCCCTGCACCCTATCTAACAAGTCATCTGTCCGGGGCAGTGGTTCTGCATTCTTCACTGTGATAGCATTAAGACCCCTATAGTCTATACACATTTTGAGCTCTCCCTCCTTCTTGGGGGCAAAAAAAACAGGTGCTCCAAATGGAGATGAACTGGGCCTAATCCAACCCTTCTCTAGGAGTTCATCTAGCTGCTTACGCAGCTCCTCTAACTCCTTTGGGGACATCCTGTAGATAGCTCCTTTAGGAGTCCTACTGCCAGGCTCTATCTCTATGCGATGCTGGATCGTCCGCGACACTACTCCTATAGGCGGCTTAGCTAAGTCTGTGTACTCCTCCAGCAGCTTGGCAATAACAGGATCTATGGGTTTCTCCTCTTTAGGCTCAGTGACAGTCCTGACATAGGCAACAAAGACCTGTTCTTCTAATTGCTCCTTTAACTAATCGCGTGAACACGGGAGCACTGAGGCAGCAGTGTGCCAAAGAGTTGTCTACTCTTGACACATGGAACAAACGAGCCGTCTTAACTTCGCTTGTTGGGCTAGGGAGCCTACACTCGTGCTCTCTTAAGTGGAGTGTGGCCCCTGCTGCCTCTCCCCAGTCCATCCCTAGCACCATGTCAAAAAGAAGGTTGTCCTCTACGAGGAGAGTCGGGGAATGGAGAACCTTTTCTACATTCCCATCCTTCTCTAAGTGGAAGTACGTCTGAACTCCCTCTGCATAATCCTCGACTCGGATAGTGCGATTGTCTGCAAGGATAGCTTTTGGACTTTGAGATTCAACTTTAGCTTCTGTAGCGCTTTCCTGCTGATATAACTGCGGGTGGCCCCACTGTCTATAAGGGCCCCTACTCTACTTCTAAAGACCTCTACATTTACTAACACTAGCTGTGCTTTCGTGACCTTCTTCATCTTGGCCCAGGCGGGCATACTCTTTTTCAATTCTTCTGCCACGTCTGTGAGGGAAGTGCCTAGTGATACTCTAACACAAGCAGTCTCTGGATAGTGATCTAGGCACTGGCCAGCAACCTCTGCCATAGACACATGTGGTTTGGGAGTATCTATGTGATGCGCGCACTCTTCTCCACATGGTCTAGGGATAGGGGCTGTTGCAACCCCTAGCGGCGGTTGCCTTTTGCTGCCTGTGCAGCAAATCGGGCCTCTCTGTACTTAGGGCAGTATTTAATAATATGACCAGGATCACCGCAATAAATGCACTGATCCTGATCGATCCTCCTCTGCCAAATTGTTTGTTCTAGGCCCAAATCTTCCCAAGGCCTGCCCTGTGGCAGAGCAAGGTGCCATCCACCCCTTCTGTACGGTGACTGATTAAAACTAGAGCGGTTTTTCGGGGGACCTTGACCCCTACCTCCCGCTTGGCGGCCTCCTCTACCACCAACCCTCTGATCGCCCTGTCCTCGGCCACTGGAAGCCTGGGCCCCCTGGCCCCGGCCTCCTCCTCTTCCTTGCGGCCTCCCTCCAACCGCGACAGTAGCGTAAGTCCTCCCCTGACTATCGCCATTATCCTCTTCCTCTAGGCCCCACTCTATCTGATCATAGGGGACCTCTTCCATACCACCCTCATCTAACGTAAGGATCATGTGGCGATAGTCCTCCCCTTGACCTGACCCGAGATGGTACGGCCTTTCCACTTCTTTCCCTTGTCAAGGTCCTTATGCCAGAAAGTGGAAACTGGCATGGACTTCGCTTCGAATGCTACCACCTCCCTACTCAAAGTATCGTAGGTCATGGTAGACTCTCTACTCTTCTCGAAGAAGTGCCCGTGCAAAGGCTTGGGCATGGCACGTTAAAACGGTTGGACCAGCTGGGTCTCGGTGACCCCATGACCAGGGACAGCTACCAATTCATCCATGACACCCTTTAGTGCCCTGGCGCTCCTCCATTGGCGGGAATGAATAGATTGCAGCTTGTCAGAGGCTCAGCGCCCCTCTCACCTCAGCGCCCGTGCGCTCGTCTGGCCCTCATCACTAGCGCTGCTGCTCGTGCGATAATGCAGCAGCGTGGCTGCATTGCCCACTCAGGCCAGAATGCCTGAGGCTGGGGCAGTCACTTTCCTTTATGGAAAGCGCTCCCTGCTTCGGCCTGTGCTTGGCCTGCTGGGCTGGGGCCCAGTAGCTTCGCGTTGGGCCAAAGTGTCTGTGTCCTGGGCCCTTCAGACAGTTACAAGGACCACAGCATCCAGTGGCCCCGTCGGCCAGACTCCAAGTGTTTCCTGCGATCTCAGTGGCTCGCGGCATGTGTGTGACGATGGTGCTGCTTTCTCATTGGTCCGCGCCCGCTACGTGACTTGTTGGCCTCTGGATGCCTGTGCCCAGAGCCTCAACCGTATGAGCCCTGGGCTCAACTGTACGACGCAGCTGCTGCTTCTGGAAGGAGCCAAGAAGGCTCACGTTGCTCTGTAACCAACTGGCGTGCGGCAACTGTTCGATACCCGACATATGAAAAATGTCCAAAATAGGCCTCACGTGGATATTCAGGCCTGCCTTCACTTAGGGAGGGCAAGAGGCTTATTGGGGGCCTTAGCCCAGAACGTTTGCATGTCCAAGATGGGCCTTTGCGGGGGCTCAGTCCTCGCACACGGAAAGAACAAAAAAAAAAAAGAAGAAGAACAAAAGTTGCGGCCGTGAAACTCACAAAAGAAGAAAAAAAAAAGGAAACGAAGCTTTCGCCGTGATTGCAGTTGTATACATTTTTGGATGTGGTAGTCTGAGTGTGCCCTCAGTGAGGGCATCTGAGCCCCGTGGCCGGGTTGTCAGATTCCAGAAAGACAAAAGAAGGGGAAAAAAAAACGGAAACCCGGATTCGGCCTTGAAAATGGCTGGATACATTCCTCTAAGTGCCAGTGTGATCAGTGTTACAATCCTCTCAGGAAATACAGTTTGAGCAGATCATGGATTCTTCCCTGCGTCGTTGGCAGGGGATTATAAGAAAAGAGAGAAGAAAAAAAGAAAGAACAACATTCAGAATGTGACCGTGTGAGCTTGTTAGATTCATTCTGTGGAGGAAGACTGTGAGCATGGCCTCCTAGACTACCCTGCCCGACGTCATTGTAGTAGAGAAAGCATTTTCTTTCTTTTTCTTTTCCATTCAAGCATGGGCAATATAAAACTAAGACTTATGGGACTTGCCGACCCTGGGTCCCATCCCCGAATTCTTCAGGAACGGGTGTTTTGACATAATTTCCCAACACTGGCAGAGGTACTAGTGGTTTAAGGCTTTCTTTCCCCCCCCCCCCCAAAAAAAAAAAAAAAAAAACAGGACCTTTTGCTAGGCATTTTGTTTTCTTGTCTTTCAGTTTTAACTTTTTTTTCTTTTTCATTTTTCTCGAAGCAAAGATCAATTTCAGTGCATCTTTTGTGCTGGCCATATGACCTCTCATGCTGCACAGACGTCTAATGATAGAAAGGTGCTGGTGAGGTGCCATACATACCCAATTCCGACTCTACCCTGCTGATGATGAAAAAAGCATGCCCCTGGAGTGTTTTGTGTGTGCTTTAGAATTGCAGGTGATCTGTGACAAAAGAACTCTTTGCTGGCTATTGTTGTTTGGAATGGTTTCCAATCAAGAGGGGCTCATTTGCTGTCCTTTGTCTCCCATTGGATTTGCAGAATTAATCCAGGAATCAGAGAGGGACTGCTAGAAGCATTTTATGGTGTCTATGAGAAGGATGCAGACAAGGTGAGCTTCTAGTTTGAAGTTTGAACTTGCTGATCTCGTTGAAAGGGTGTCTAGTGTGTCAACTTCCAAAACAATCCAGAGTATCGTGACATGTTGCAGTGAAACTGCGATCTTTACAGTATTAAATCGCTAATGTGTCCTTCAGGACATCTGTTAAAATTGGAACGATACAGAGAAGATTAGCATGATCTCTATGCAAGGATGACAAGCGTAAATCGAGAAATGGTCCAAAAAGAAGAAGGGAAAAAAGATTGCTAACTTGACAAATCTAAGATCTGGGCCGTCATTGGTCCTATTGGCCCACGGTCGGATCGTAATGCGGGGATCTGGTTCCTCGACAGGCCAATATGGGGCCCCGCTGAATGCCTTTCGCCCGCCCCAAGTGAAGGCAGGCCTGCTTTCTTCGATGAGGCCTGGGCTGTGTCAATTTCCAGGCCCTGGTTGGCGGCAGACAGTTACCACCCAGCAGTTGGTTACATGGGAGCCTTCTAGGCTCTTCTGGGCTTGACATGGATCCAGGCATTTCAGCCTATCACAACGCAGGAAGCAACATAGGCCACGTCGGGCTGTTGGGCGGCCTTAACTGTTTTGGTCCCGCACTGTCTGAATCGGGCCTGGGCACAGACACTTTGGCCCAATGTGAAGCTACTGCGCATTATGGGCCTGGCTTCTTTCCATATAGGAAAGAGCCAGGCCAGGGTGAGGACATTCGGGCACTTTGTGTAATCGTGGCAGCGCTGCCATTATGGGCGCTCGTAAGCCGTTTGAGCGACGAAGGTCTGGCTGCATGCGGGCGCAGGTAGGAGAGCGCTGTGGGGAGACAGCGCAGCACATCGGCCATAGCCGGGCTGCACGTGCATACAAGCCAGCGGGGTTGTGGTGGTGTCTTCGGCATGGGAATGATGAGAGGTAGAAGACGAGGGTGAGCTATAAGAGGGCGAGCAAGAGGAGGAGGGCATGCACCTGGTCCTCGCGGATGTCTGCAAGGGCAGAATCTGAATGTCCTTTGGTTGCTGCTGCTGACGTCATCTGGTTGCTTCGTCATAGGTGTAGGCTAGTATAGGAGCTGTACGATAGTAGTCTGGGCACTGAGCGCCATCAGGGGGAAAGACTTCGGATGCATTGTATATGGTGCTAAGAGAGGGCTTTCATTGACAATTGAGTTCATTGCTTCGGTTCTCCATTGGCGTGATTTCAGTGCATTTCTGCCTTCTTGACAGTTCATGGCTATTGCAATCAGACTCATCTTCTTCCTTATGTGGCATGCATGCAAACAGATGGCAATCACACTGGGGACAAGCGCCCACACCAACTCAGAGAAATTGTGGCCGAGAACACAGTTCAGATTCAATTTGCTTCAAAATGGCTACGGCGCCTGAGCGCCCTCACATCACCCTTCCGACACTGTATTCACAGCAACTGTTCACACGCGCACTACTTTGGATCTCCCTGGATGTTCCACGCACACTCACTCTGTACCGCACACTCACACAAACACTCGCTACAGACTAACTCTAACCTATGGCAGCTATGGCCGCCTTCTACCTCCTAGCTGCTAACGGCGATGGCCGCTCCTTCTCCCTCGCAGCCCACTTCGACTTCGGGCATCTGCAGACCACCTTACACAAGACGCTTGGGCAGCGCTTCCGCATGGCTCACAGCAGAATGAATGAATAACTGGGTGCTGCCTCTTGATTTATACATCTGTTAGTCGCTGGTCTGCTCCTTTCCACCGGGCCCAGGGTGCACACAGTCCCACATGGTACTTGCTGACTGGACAAAGTGAGACTGGGACTGGGTACCGTTGAATAAGCAAAGTTGGACTACCCACTTGCCCACTTGCCTCTGGTCTAACTTGAGCAACGCTCGAAAGGCCACTTCCGGACCTTCCAGAAGTCTATAGACATGGCCTTTGGAAACTGTAGCAGCTACGACTTTGACCTTTCAGGACTTGTAGCAGCTACGATCTTGACCTTTCAGAATTGCTACAGCTACGACCCCTACACAGCTGCGACCCCTGCTCAGCAGACCTACGGATCGAAACCCGACAACTACATAGACTTACGACAGACAACAATCAACTATCAAGACACAGGTCGCGGGCCCAAACGTACAGGGTCGACTTGATACTTTACACGGGTGAGAACAGGGCTAGGGATTGAGTCCTGGGATCTGCATCTGCTACTGCAAAGGTGAAAACCGTTTCACTATCTGGCTTTCAATGCAATGTTGCAATTTGGAATTCTGTCATTTTGTCACTCATTTCGCTATTGCTCATTTTCCTTGCAGTCGCATCGGTGTTATGAATTTTGGATCCGGGCTGTCAGGCTCTACAGGACTGACAGCCCGGATTGTCGCTCCGATCTAACAATTTTTTTGATCCGGGTCATCAGGCCTGCCCATTCCAACTGCCCGGATCGACACAACGTCTTAAGATCCGAAGATCCCGCCTTAATCCAGGTCGTTGGCCAGGTACCTCAGGCCCAACGGCCCGAGTGCATGTAGAATCGGCCTACTAGTGCAGGTAGATCCTACCGCTGCTGCACGCCTAAATGGTACTGGAAGCCCCTTCCACCACCCTACTGGTAGGCCTACCACCACCCTCCTATAGTGCTGGTAGCGCCCCCCCCCTCTCTCGGCCTCAGCCCCCCAAAGAAGTGTGGTGTTAAGATCCTGGCCAATTTCGAAGTATACATTCATCAGAAAGTACAATGTCGTCCAATTGCAAGAAGAAATGAATGAACTTGAGAGGAGAGAGAGGGAAAGAAGAAGAAGATGATGTACTCCAGCATAGACCAATGACAAGGCTCTTCTTCTTCGCCAACCAATCTCCGCCGCCTTATCTCCTCCACTCTTATTCAAACAAGAAATAACAATAATAATGTTGAATGGCTGAACCAGAATCAAGAAATGACAATAATAATGTTGAATGGCTGAACCAGAATCAATGTCCGAATCCCACTTCTACTGCAGGCGCAACATGAGGTCCACCATAGCCATGGCCACCCCTCTCCTTCCTCTTCATTGCAGGTCGAGGCTATGGCGGACTACTGAGGGCTTCAGCCTCCTGTGCAAAGGACAATGCAAAGCAGCTATGTCACTGCTGCCTGTGCAAACGACAATGCAAAGCAGCTATGTCGCTGCTCACTAAACCGCCATGCCTGACTCTGCCCCGAGCTTCCTTGGTGCGGCACTACCCCAACTGGGGCCTTCCAGATGCAGCGCCTAACAAGGTGATGAGATGGTGTCCACCATAGCCAGGTAAGTACCTCGCCATTCTCCTCCTTGGTCCTCTTCTCCCTCCTCCTGCTACTGGTAGAGCTCCACCATAGCCAAGGTGAAAGCTCCCGGCTTCTTCCTCCCAGCAGCGCTGTAGCAGCCAGCGCTCTTCCAACCAGCACTCCAACAGCGTGACGCCCAACTCGCACACTGAAGAATGAGGCCAAGCTCTTCCTTCGGCCTCTTGATATAGCGGCCTGCTTGCCTCCTGGGCGGTGACTTCCAGGCCGCTCGGCCTCCCAAGCAACTGGTACCTCCTCCATATTGCCCGTACAAGCTCTAGACTCAGACTGGATGGACTGGTACTGGCCTAGACCTAGCCTACCGCTACTGGGCCTCTAAAAATGTCAACTTTGTCTTTTTCTGCTCGGCCTTGAGTGCCCGACACTACTGCTACTGGATGCGGTACCGGCCTACCTGCTACTTTAGTGTTTTTCCGTTGCTCTAAGCACCGCGGGCCCCTGGCTCAGCTACTTGAGTTTTTTCCCTTCTGCAACCCTCGATGCCACGGCCACAGGTAAGTACCGGCCCTATGGGCCTGCCAAACAAGCAAGTACCCTTGCGGGTCACACTCACACTCATACCGACAAGCATTCAGACAGGCACGCAGGTCAACAAGCACGCACACATACAGACACAGAAAACTCAGCAGAATGCGGGAATCTCAGCGAGGCATCCATTCCATCGGCAGAACTTCATAAATCAGCAGTGTTCTCAGTCTGTGTTTCGGTGGGTCATTACACTACCCCCCCTTCAAGAGCGAGATCCCTTCATAATGCATCATAAGCGTAAATGGCGAAGAGAGATCGGGTATGTTCCGTTGGAGTGAGGGTAGCAGTAAATTTAGGTTGTTGTTCGGAGCTAATCAGTCGTTCATATGCGGGTCACTCTGCAGCAAATCTTTCTTAGCAATCCAGTAAATTCATTCAATGGATGATATAGGAAGTGGACTCTGTATTGTTTGTTTCTCCCTTTTCCACTGTGCTCGATAATTCTGTCAATCTCGTGACCGCCATTGCTTGCGCGAGGAATCATTGATTCTCGATACGGAAAAGTTTCGGGTGGTTCATACGGAAACAACTTCGACGCGTGAAAGACTGGGTACGTGCACAGATGAGGAGGCACGTCGATCGTGTAAGAAGGACCAAATGAATCATTCCCTACTCGGTTCAGCACCTTCCACAGACCGTAGCACCGAGGAGGAAGCTTTCGTGATACACTTTCTTCTTTAGAAAACTCAGACATCTTGACGCAGATATAACTTCCCACTGTGAAAGGGTCAGGCTGGCGCTTTTTGTTTGCATGCTTAATCATGGCACTGCGTCGCCTTTCCATAGCTGCGACAACAACTTTGAGCAAACGATCAAACTTAGCACTGTAGCCTGACTGGCCAGGTGTTAGGCGAAGTGGCTGTTCAGGAAACAGATAAGATAGGGGCTTGCGAATTTTCCACCCAAGGTGCAACCGATTAGGTGTCATCCCAGTGCGAATTTTCCACCCAAGGTGCAACCGATTAGGTGTCATTCCGGTGGAGGAGTGTATGGAGTGTTGTACAACCCCTACACAATCGGCAATTCCTCCTCCCAAGAGTTCTGATCAGGCACAATTAGATCTCGGAGAAGTTGGATCATAGTCTGGTTGATCTCCTCGGCCAGTCCATTGGCTTCAGGATGTCGACCAGACGTCATTTTGAGTTTGATGTCATAAATCTGGGAGGTGAA